ATTGTTGTGAGAACTGCACATTTCATCAGTAATTTTAATCAAGTTAACCGTCGTTTCACTGTAGTAATTTTATAAAACAATTACCAAATGGTTTTCCCGTCCAGGATAGCATGATCCATGCACTTGGGATGTTGCTCGACTTTCGGAAATCGTAACGCTTTCCGAAAGTCTCGCAACATCCCGCGTGCATGGATCACGCAATCCTGCACGGAAAACCATTCGGTATTCCTTTAATATGAAAGCATCATGTGTCATCAACTCATAAGAATAATTGAACAGTTCATAGAGTAGTTCATTGTAAAATTTGTGTTTCTCCGTGATAGGATTTGGTATCAATAACCTTGATGCAATTGAGGCTGACATTACACAACAAACAGATATACAAAATATTGATTATTATTAAATCACCAGAGCTGCAAAAATTAAAAGAGAAAACGGCTATTGTGGACTGGGTCATATCTTCACATGTTGTACCATAATAAAATCAAACACTAGGGTACCTACATTTCTGAGTTTTGTTTGAGCTTTTCTTTGCATCTTTATTCTCGTATTCTTTTTCGTTCGAATTGCCTCTTGTAGAATGGATAGCTAAAAGAGCCTTCAATCGCTTGAGGTGCCCTATTTTCTTGATTCCAATATCTTGTGCTAGCGCCTGTTCTAATTCATCTGGTGTCATCTCTAGCAACTGTTTCATGTCATCGTAGCCCTTCCTATCGAAGCTTGACCAGTATTGTAGAAAATTATTTTCTTTCAAAAATAGATAAACATAATTTGCAATTTCCGTTGAATCAATATTCATATCTTGCTCAATTTCCATACCAAATAACAGGCAAATATTTGCAATGCAACTATTTAATTGAATATTATGTTTTTGTGTGAAACATGTGATCCAGTGAGCCCTCTACAGTGAGCCTGTGAAACATACTCAATGCGGTTTAGATACACTATAATGAGAGCCTACATTAAGTATATGCTTTGCGTTTCAAGATGGCGTCTGGAAACGAAGTTAGAAGTTTTATTGGAGGTAATATTGTGAGAAATAAAGCTGTTCTTAGTTCATTACAATCGTGTAAGCTCAAAGAAAATTTAAGTGTTCTTGAAGACAAGATTGCTAAAGTCTCGTCAGGCTCTCAACTCTGGGAACATCTACGAGGGCTTCGCGCCATTCTGGACAGTTTGCTTGCAAATGTGGCATGTAGTAATGGGTCAACACGAGTGGCAAGTTATATTGAATTTGAAGAAGCATATCATCTGTTCTTGGGTTATTGTACCTTTGGAAGTACGAACATCAAAGACACAGATAAAAAGAAACATTTCAAAGAAATGCTTCTGCATCCAAACTATGGCCTTTGTGTTTATCTTGTTGATACTTTAAAAGGAAATCTGTTTGTAAGATCTGATGATCTGAAATTCTAAGATCTGATGACGTTGATCTGGAAAATTTTTACTTACATCTATATGAAGGTGGTATTGATATGCCAGCCAGCCGATTTGTTTTTCATAAGGAAACTGTCCAAGCATTGTATCAAGCCCTTGATACAGAATGGGATAAGAAAATATTACGAGTTATTCTTGGAGCAACAAGGACAAGGGCTGAAGTAGATGCTCTAGGTATAGACAGTGATTCCCAGGTTAAATAATTATATTTTAATTTTAACACTTTCTATACAATATTCTTTACAGCTGCAAGTAAACAAATATGAGGGCAGGAAAAATGGTTGCGAAACTGTGAGTCATTGAATTCAGAATAGGGGGGGGGCTATGAAATATGTTGTCTCAATAAGGGGGGGGGATATAAAACAATTTTGGTAGAAAAATAAGGGGTCATGAAAAATTTTAGCTATTTATAAAAATTTCCTCCGGCTCCCTACCCGGCATTAACAATGACTGGTCCCTAATTCACAAGTGTCTGAGCAAGAGGAAAGAATTTTGAAGTCGTCAAAGTTGGCAGAGTGCCCTGTAGTATTTAAGCGAGAGAAAATACTAGACATGACTGGACTGGATGACGGCTGTCCTGTTATAGGAGTGAGTCCCAGGTGTTCCGATACTCTGGCGTGTAAATGGCGCATGGTTTGACCCACATACGACGCGGAACAGCATCGACACTTAAATAAGCATACGACAACAGATCTCAGGAACGTACGAACTTTATCCTTGAAAGGAAAGAAAGAAGAGATGCGTTTAGAGGAGCGAAAGATAAATCGAATGTTGAGATGAGGATAAGCAGCATTGCAAAGTCGGTTGATTTGAGTGCGAATTTGAAGAGAGTGTGAACCTGTGAAGGGAAGGCAAAAATAGACAACCTTTTTCGGAACCGTGTGAATAGGAGGTTTGGGTTCGAAGATCTTGTTAAGGAAACGATGAACAAGACGGTCAAACATGTGGGAGGGGAAACCATTCAAGTTAAACAGTTTCCTAATAACTTCAAGCTGAGTATGAAAGTTTTCATAGCTAGAACAGAGGTTGAAAATTCTGTAAAGTAGGCAAGAGATTAAAGGGCGTTTGTATGCAAGAGGAATGAAGCTGTGGAAGTTAGTGAAAAGACCCGTGAAAGTTAGTTTACGATAAACAGAAGTGGAAAATTTACCGTTTGAGCGAGTTATATCGACATCGAGAAAAGGTAGTTTACCGTCTTTTTCCAGTTCGGATGTAAAAGAAATATTTGGGTGTTGGCGGTTAAGATAGTTAAGAAAGAGAGGTACGTGGTCCAAGGATCTAAAAAGAAGAAAACAGTCATCAACATAACGTCGATACAAAATAGGTTTGAAAATAGACGGACAGTTGTAAAGTCATGATTTCTCATGGAAAGACATAAAGATATTAGCAAAGAGAGGGCCTAGAGGACTACCCATAGCCACGCCATCAATCTGTTGATAAATCCGACCGTTAAAGATAAAGTGACAGTTTTTCACAGAGGGTTAAGATAGAAGTTTAATGAACTGTGAGCGATCAAAGCCTTCAAAATTCATGCAGCTGGCAAAGATGTGATTAGCAATAATCTCAATTGTTTCATCAACAGGAATATTGGTAAACAATGAAGTAACGTCAAAGCTAGCCATAACCACACTATCTGAGTTGATGTCGCTGTTCAAGAGTTCTTGAACAAAAGAGAACGAGTTCTTGATAACGAAAGAGCTTGTAGAGATAGGAGTGAGAAAGGGAATGAAGAATTTAGCTATCTTATACGAATAATGATTGATAGAAGATAAAATAGGTCTTAAAGGAATAGAGGATTTGTGAATTTTTGGAAGTCCATATAGTATGCCTATACGTGTACCGGTGGGATACAGTTCGTTGTAAGTTCTTTCATTAATACAATTGTCACCCTTTAGTTTCCTTAATAGCGTCTTAACTTAACTTTCACGCTTAAGAGTTAGCTTGATTGCATCATCATCCAAAAGTTCAAATTTTGAGGTATCCGACAGTATTTCATCCACCTTTTTATTGTAGTCATCCTTATTAAGAATTACTACGCCATTTTCCTTGTCAGGTTTCACAATTACAATGTTGCTGTCGTTCCCGAGGTGGACTAGTTCTTCCTGCGTATATAAAGCGTTAGGTCGATTGTAGGTTCGGAAACCGGAATATCTTTCAACTTGACTTTAATCGAAACCTGGAAGAAGCCAGAATTAAAGTTGATGGGTTCTCACTTAAATTGATTGTAAAACTTTTCAAACGGTGTGAGGAAACTACAGGAATTCAGTTTGGTTGGTGGGATGGCAAAGTTAAGTCCTTTGGATAGGATTTACTTTTCTTTGTTCGAGATAAGGCGATCAGAGAAACTGAAAACCACGTCGTCAGGGTTGACCGAGTTCGAGTTATTTTGTCCTGAGCAGAGACGAAAAATCTTGCGGTCTTGAACGCGCTGATGTTGACTAAGTTTTTTCGAATTTTCACGATCGGAAACGTTTTTTAGATGAATGAAATCCGTGTTTGAAACCAATGAGGCTAGTTTAGAATGCGCTGTCGTTGCTTGCGCGGAGAGTGTTCGTATCCGAGCGTGCTTCGCGTTGATTTCGTCTTTCAGTAACTTGTTTTGACATTGTCTATAGGCGCTAGATGTTCGCAATCTGCGATTTGCAACCTTGAACCAGAGAAATCGTGGTATTACCGAGCGCTTTTTACACGTTGAGAGGAATTCCAAGTCGAGTTTGGCTTTACCAAGCAGACGTGGAAATTTCCTGAACGCTTCAAGTGCGCCGTTTTTGTAGCGATTATTCAAAATCGTTGCCAGAGATTTGCCAGGCGGAAAACGTATCCAGAGATTTGCCAGGCGGAAAACGTCATCCAGTCCAGTCATGTCTAGTATTTTCTCTCACTTAAATACTATACTCTGCCAACTTTGACGACTTCGAAATTCTTTCCTCTTGCTCAGACACTTGTGAATTATTGATTCACGAAAGCCTTTTTATATCTAAACTCAAACTTACTCTTAACGTCCAGGGCAGCTCTATTTTCGCTTAACCTTCTGTAATTTGCGGTTTTCTTGTGTCTGTTTTGTTTCCTCATTTGTATCGTCCTGTCTTACATACACCCTCTTATCCTTTATTATCCTTAGTAACATAACACCTTGTAAATAGATTATAATTAGCTTATATATATTCACATCTCGTGTAATTTTATCTGGTCTGAAGACGTCTTAAGTTAAAGACGAAACGTTACAATTAAAATTATTTACAATCTTTTAAAACTGTTTTAATGGCTTTGTTAAAAGTTATTCGTTTTCCGCCTGGCAAATCTCTGGCAACTATAATGGAGTTTGACATGATGATCAACACAACCTTAAGATCTTGAATGAATGAACAACTTATTTGATATACTGCTAGTGCCAATACTTTGCTATATATCATCGCAAAGCTCTGATCTCAGTTGGATCACTTTGAATTAACATTGGAGTGGCACAATAAAGTGTCTGTATTAGGGAGGAGTCTATAAGGAGAGGCTCTCACTTGACTGAAGTAAAAGGCACACTTTTGGATTTAACTACATACTGTAGGTTTCAATTAAGTTTGAACAATGAACAACTGAAATAAAAATTTATTTAATTTGAAACACTTAAAGAAATTACAACATATAAATTTAATAGTAACAGAGAAATGTGATGGATAGTCTGTAATTTTGACCATTGTAAATGTATTATAATTAAAGAAACAAAATATAAAAGTCATAAAATAAATCTACGCCTTTCTTAATTAACATGAACAGCGCATGCAACTGCAAATGTTCTACCTACGCAAACAACACCGCGGAAAAACGTCTGCGCATGCACCAAATTATGCAAATATGGCGGGGAATTTGAATATCAATTTTTAAAACAAAACATGCTTATTAACTGGTCAAAATTAGTAAAACAAACGAGAAAATATAGCAAATGGGTAGACTAGTATGTAAAAAGTATGACTTCATGTAAAAAATTGTTGATTTTAACGGACACGACTTCGAAAATGTTTGCAAAATTATTCAAAACAAAAATTCAAACTCAAAAGTTAAGAAAACTCTCGAAAAGTTAAGCTTCTTAACCCACTCAAATTGTAGAATAAATCCTGAAGTTTAATTATTATGAACACGCAAATTTTTTATATTTGGCGACACAGTTTTTTTTTAAAGAAATGTATCTCAAACGCAAATTCGGAAATTGTCATTGCTTAGTTGATAAACAAAATGTTTCAGTTGATAAACAAAATGTTTCAGACGATAAATTTGTCAACAATCACCTTTAGTTCATGTTCTTGTACAATACAATTTCTTGAACCTTCTGGCTGTATTTATTTCTAGTTTTTAGAATGATATGTTTATTTTTGCGCTTGAAATCTGGCTGTATAAAGACACACAATGAAGTCACTCCTTTTTACCGCCATTTTGAGCCTTCGGAAATGTTCGGAACAGCTTCTCATCAAGTTCGCAATGCTATTACAGGTAAGGTTGACGCATGCGCAGACGTTTTTCCGCGATGTTTACGCAAACACAATCTTCATATTATTACTACATGACAAATTTATAGAAGAGTTTCAAAGAAAGTACCAAACTGAATGTTGCTGTTCACCGCCAAATTCTTAAAGCATTTCAACTATTTCAAAACAAACTGAAGTCCATGTTCCAATTACTTTGTGCTCAACGACTCTGGAGAAAGGAATCGATGCTTGCTGGTGATACGTGCTTTTATTTTCGTATTTGTGCGTAGTAGTACATGGCTGCAAGGCAATTAATTATAAGTGACCTTAAATATGGCTGCCAGGTTATCGTACCATTAATAGCGTGGCAAATCTTGCAATGTCGTCGTTCGGACGTTTTGTTGCCGTGGCAAGGTCCGCAACTTCATATCAGAAGAATAAACATTAATTTAGAATTGGTTCGTATTGACTGTTTTGAGCGTGTAAATTTGACGATTTCCAAAGGTTAACCAAAAACAACAAAACAATTCCCAGAACGCAACACAACACCACGAAAAAATTTAGAGAAACGATCAACCAAACAAGCGAGTTGTCAAGTCTTGTAGAAAGTCGCAAGGATGCTAAACTAACAAAGGAAAGAAGCAAAACGATAGATATAAATACATCGGCCGAAGTTTCAAATTCAAATTTGTCTGAATATCTCTTGTACGGCCTGAAAACTAGAGTTATGATGATGAAGGTGATGAGAAGAAAAGTTATGCTTAAAATTTGGTACGAAGAGGTAGTTGGAACTATGGTTAAGAATACGGCAAGTAGAAGACGACGGCTGAGGAAAACAAGCCGGAAATATCTTCGGAATGGTGGTTTAAATTCTTCATACAACGGTTTCATCCAAATTTCAATGTCTTGGGAAATAGTTTGGCCTTCATGGTCTAAGTATTTGTACAACAATGGTGTGAAAATAAAAAGAGGGATCCCAAAAACAAATACAACCAAGGAAACATAACCCAAAATAAGCAGCCTGTTATGTGAAGTGCCATTACAATCAAGCCACTGTGCATTTTTTAAATAAGACAGGCCGTCACGGTGTTCACAAGAAAATATCGCATCAAAGGTTTTTGCAGTGATAGGAAAATACACGAACAGAAGCATTTGAAGGCTCCAACGTTTGCATCGGTGACTGGAAATATTTCTATTTCGACTACAGCATATCTTCCCCAAACCATGAAACAACCATATTAAGGATAATCCCACGATCGGCAGCAGCAAAATGACAGCAAAGGTAACCTCGGGACGGTTTGCAGTAGAAAAGCTACAAGTAAGTTCCGAGAACTCAATATTAAAGGCGTTTGTGATTTGGTATTTAAGAAGAACTATTTTTGTTGGCCAGATTTTGGCATCAGACAACATCGCACCTAGGGACTGGAAGAAAAAGATCGCTATGCTCCAAAAGCTTTTCAGGGTCCTGCCTGCGTCAGAAAGACCTAAGATCCATACTGCAAATATAAGCATAAAGAACCACCATGGGATTATGGACTTCGCGTGCAAAACTATAAGTGCCACTGCAAATGCAAACAATAAAACAATGACCACCCGTTTTCTGCGGCGTCTCAAACTAATCATCAAAAAAATAGACATGAAGAGGCATGCCAAGAAGGAGAGTAGTAAAAAGACTGGGAAATTTTCACGAAACTCAGGACAGGGGACACATAAAGAACCTTTTTTGTAGTAACCGTCGATACACTGTGAGCAAAATCTCCCCTTGTTGCCATGACGACAAACACATGTCGAGTTACATGTTGTTTTCAGGTGGTGACCATTCAACAATTGTAGTTCACATTTGCATCTTCCGGAAGGATTGCATATTTCATCATCAAACATTTTTTGTTGGCTGCATTTAACCAGTTTAGTTACATTGCCAAAATCACCGCAACACGGCCAGTAACCTTTTTCAACGTTCATCTTAACTTCAATTTGGTTGGTCGTTGGCGAAGTTTGTGTTTCATTCTTGATTGATGCTTTCGCTTCACATGAACCACCTTTCATACAGGGCTCGCAATATTTGCGGTAACCATAGTACCCTCCATTACAAAAACACAAGGAATAATCATAATACTCAGGATCCATTTCTACCCGTCCTCCAGAATTTGAAAGATGAATAGTCGGGCAAGAAAATGTGTTTCTTTGTATCTTCACACTGTATGTCACTTTCATATACAGATTTGGGAAAGTATCTTTACTTTTCAGGAACCAGTTCTGTCGTACGTCGAGATATGTCAATGATTTTAATGGAGCAAAAAAACCCATGGGTAACTCACCGGTAAAATTATTCGATGCTAGAGCAAGATAAAACAAATAGACCATATTATAAGCGTCATTTATAGGGGCATGACCGATTAGGCTATTATTGCTGAGATCAATATACATGACTTGTTGAAAGTTCCAAAGTGAATTTGAAAGTTCACCTTTGAGTCCACAATTGCTTGCAACGAGCATGCGTAGAGTGTACCAACAGGGTTGCAATGCTCTTAACAGTCGGTTACCATCGATTTTTAAATGGATATTTCCATGAAGGTATAAGATTTGCAATTGGGAGTTAAACGAGAAGTTTGCGGCAAATCCTGTGAAGTTATTATTTGATAAATCAAGTACCTGAAGAGTTTGGAGCTTGTTCAACGTTGCCGGAAGCAAGCCATATAACTTATTCGAGCCTAAGATAAGTTGTGTTATCTGTCGAAAACCATTGAAACAGTCTGATATTTGTCCTTCGAGTTTATTACCATACAGGCGTAACTCGAGCATATTTGGATGACTTTTTCCAAAGCCATTTGGTATAGTTCCTCCTAACCCGCAATTCGTCAGATGTATGGAAGTCAATTGACTCATGTTCGAAAAATACCACATTGCACCAGAATTCAATTTCGCATATTCTAAATCCAAAAACCATAACTTTGTTAGATTTCGGATTCTCAAAGGCAAGTCTCCTTTAATATTATTTTCGCCAAGGCTCAGCAATTGCAGGTTAGGCAAGCGATCAATATCATGTGGAATGGTGCCGTACAATTTTGTCTGATTCATGCAACATAATTGTATCTTCTCCAGGTTATCCAACTGCAAGATCAAATCCCATGGGATTTCACCATAAATTCCTGAAAAGGAGATACACAGTCGACGGAGTCGAGTCATGTTACTGGAGATCACATCTGATATTGTTGCTGTCATTTGTTTATTACCTGACAAGCATAGTCCTTGCACATTACGGATTTTCCAAAAATTTGGCAATTGTCCAGTCAGGCCGTTATGAGTCAAATCAATCCATTTGATATAGCTACTGTTCTTGTAGCAATGTATGCCAAACCATTTGCAGTGATGTATGGTGCTGTTGTTTCCCCATCCTGTTTTCTTGTTCCAGTAGTAAGGGCCGCCCGTTGCATCATACAAGTCAAGCAAAAACAAACGTTCATCTTCGGGAGTATAGGTGTAATCACTTACATTGTTATCAATGGCTAAATCATGCAAACATGAAGTGTCAACCGTCCCTCCTTTCTGAGTTGATGCGAAGTGAGAGATCCCTGAAAGCAAAAAAGAAGAATTACCTGATGATCAATTTTTAGGGCCCACAGTAATTGGTTTACTGTTGTGGTGTCCCCGCCATTCGTTGTTAGATTCAGTGATGTACATTTGTGTTGGCGAAGTTTAATAAATAAATAAACAAATTTTGTGATGTGATTTTGTGCGTGAATTTGCTGGAATCAGGAATTATAAAATTAGAATAATTAGTCGCAAAACTAGCGTCTTTGCGTGTCAAAGTATATTCCATACTTGTTTCATATACTATTTGTATCTGTACTTGTTTTTGGTTTTCGTGTATTATTAGGGAGTTTACGATCTCCGACGCGTCCGGCTCGACGACGCGCTTTCAAAACAAAGAAATTTGGTGTTTCCACAAACAATAGTATTATATGTTTTATCGCCATGCAAACCTACAAAGAACTTACAAAAAAAATTGTCATGCAAGACAAAAGCTGTCAACAATTCGTGGTCCCAGGAGTATTGTCAACCGCGTTGTCATTCTCAACACAACGTTAAACAAGCATTATTACGTCTTTCAGTCAACGTGAAAGCTTAACGCGACTCAAGAGGTGTTACTTAAAGTCGAAATTACAGCAAACATTGCATCCCTTTAGCCGGGCGTAGCAGTTTGTAAGGTTATTTGAAAAAGCGTCAAATATTTATTACCGTAGTCAAATGCTTACCGCTCATTCTTGATCTGAAATTTAGACCGCGTCGTTGAGTCGGCCGCGTCGCAGATCGTAAACTCCCTAGTATATTCTACAATGCGATTTACATTTTTTGTTTACACTTTCTTTTGACTAAGTCCATCTGATTGGTTTATTTTTTGTTACGTGCAGGGCGGAGCTACGTGTGTGACACGCCCCCAGAAATTTTATTCAGTCGGCAGGGCTGCTATTTTAGTCGGCAGAAAAAATGTTTTTGACGAATAAAACTACTACCGATATGATTTCCACTTGTTATATAAGACACCGAAACTTTGGTTACTCGAAATTTACTCAGCAGGATAATCGTTATAATCCGTTAGAAAAATAAGCCCAGATTTACAGTTAAACCACATAGCGATACAAAAGATCTTAAATGAAGTATATGTAGCATGTTTCAGATGTTTGATAGGTAGAATCGCTAAACACAATATGTTCCCGCCAAAAACTCAATTATCAAATATGGCGATTTAGAACAGGCTTCATTTAGAGCACAACAGGCGTAATTTCAGGGACCGCGGAGCAGGCCCCACCCCCAATAATTTTCTATACTGTACGTTGAGACAACTATAAATATAAAAGGAAGTAATAAATAAATGGTGCAAGTATGTACATAATTTTCTGTGCGCACAAATCAGTATTTGCGCTGTTTTAGCAGTATATTGCTTCAAAAATCTGGTGGAGGCTAGCGCTCATTATATATTTTTAACATTATTAATTTTCTAATTCATTTCAAACAAAAATGTGTTATACATTATTCAGCGAATTAAGGAGGCTCCCTACAGTTATTCTTGTTTACGCAATAATTCCGTAAAACTGGCTTATTCGTGCAAAACGCGAATTCTTTTTGACTTGGTGGCAATATTGGTCACCTAAGGAATATTTCGAACTAGATTTCGACAACGTCCGTGTTCCCATGGCAACATGACGATAGCATAAAGCCTTCCAATTTAACCCATAAATGTGCCGCTATCTCAAAAACGATGTCGGTGACCTATCTTTTTTATTTCATATATCAATAGGGAATGATGCTCTGCAACTGTGGTGAAAGTTTAAAAAAATTTTGTAGCGTGTGATTTTTTTAAAAGCAATAATTTTATTGCGAAATTTCCACACTAAAGATTTTTTTAAAAATAGAAATTTATAAAATTTACCGCTAATATTGGTATCATATGTAGAATTGCTGTATAGACTCGCAAGTGATTTGGCACTCAAAACGAAGTATTATTCAACGCATTTTTCCAATAGAAACCTTTCAGAAATGACATTTAAAAAAAAACAAAGCCCGGTCAATTTTTATTTTGTTTTGATCATGCAGTTGCGTGGGGTAGTTCACGTACTGGTCCGGCGAACATCCCGCACGCCAGCCTAGACCTAGGCCTTTACTCGGCTGGTAATTATCGCAATGGTCATTTGCCTCGTAGAGGCCTAGTAGATTTCACAAGTTCTCAAATTAGCCCCATAACTTTGTGATCCGAAATTGATCAGAAACCAACAACTAAAGCAATTTATACTGTCCAGTAGTTATTACATTAACTATAAAAACATTTTATGACTAACCTAAGTTCTATTTTGTAGTAATATTTGACGGTTTAAATTTGCTGTTAAGTTGCAAATAATTCTGTTTGAGAACGCAATAATTGGGCATTTCGCAACCTGGGCAGTTTCAGGGCAGTTTTGGCCTTGTTGTTGGGAAATCCACTAGGCCTTATATTTTTTCGCTTGCGCATCCTTCGCCCCGCCCCCAAATCACCTGGTCCCATTCTTTTCATGTGTAAAAGCGCTGAATATTAAATAAAATAATAAAAATAGAAGGCCTAGGCTGCCCGCACGCTACTGTAGGGAGCCTCCTTAATAAGTGTCAGACACCTTAAGATTCACGTTTACGGCAAACGTCAAACCGCTAGCGAAGTTTTTGATTTTACAACTCTATTATATATAATACTTTAACACCAGTTTTGAAACATTTTAAACAATTATTAAACTTGTGCTCTTTATAGCAATGATTTAAGAAAGCAAATTAACCACTAGTCATGTATTCACCAAAGCAGTAAATTAAGATTTGTCGTTTGAAGTTTACGTTTGGGCCGGTTTGGCGTATAAATTTCATGCTTTAACGACTACAAGCCCTCGTAGCAGTTCAAGTATGAAATTTATATGCCAAACTTCAAATGACAAATCTTAATTTACTGCTTTGGTGAATACATAACTATTACTATATATATATATATATATATATATATAGTAATAGTTGGGTTGATTAGACATAGTATATATATATATATATATATATATATATATATATATATATATATATATATATATATATATATATATATATATATACAAATTAAAATGGCTCCTGTCCGATTTCACGGAAGCGGTTAATCTCTAAAACGTCCTTGTTGGCTGCAACTTTAATTTGGTGCGACAATAAAGTGCAACTTGCTGCAACTTTCAACAACACGCCAAATCATAAAATTCTTATATCAAAGCGGCCCAAAGAAATCGTGAATTTAGTTTGAGATTTAGTCTGATAGGCTCGGACCCTCATAATGACACGTCATTGTCTAAGACTAGGAGCATACAGTAGCTGTAAGGCTGTAGTGTAGACCAGAGACTGTAGCAGATGTCAGCTCAAAGTTGCCTTTTAATCGCGAGTCAGCTACTAATTAAGATATTTTGCAGTTCTCGATCAAATATAGAGGCAAATGTCGGCATAGGTAATGAAACCCATTCAACTCTCTTATAAGATAAATTTCTGTCAAATTACTAGTTTGTAGTTTGAAAAGTTAAGGTAAAAATATCATATTAATCATAATCGTAGCTTGCACTTTTGTATTGTTCATGCACTAATGTCTCGTTTCTACAAGTTTTTAAAGCATTATAAAAAGTCTAATTCTATACAGTTTGTTAGTTATTCCATGATTGTAAACAATTCTTTATTGGCTTTTTGCCAGACGAAAATCGAGTCTCCCCACTACTTTAACAAAATGAACTACAGTAACTACGGCAGTATGCCCACGATGTAGACGGTACGAGTGAGTAATAGACACCTTAAGATTGACGTTTACGGCAAACGTCAAACCGCTAGCGAGGTTTTTGATTTTGATATTATTATTGCTTTTACACCAGTTTTGAAATATGTTAAACTTATTAAACTTGTGCTCTTTAGCAATGATTTAAGAAAGCAAATTAACCACTAGTCATGCCATTCACCAAAGCAATAAATTAAGATTTGGCGTTTGAAGTTGACGTTTGGCGTATAAATTTCATGCTTTAACGACTACAAGCCCTCGTAGCAGTTCCAGCATGAAATTTATACGCCAAACGTCAACTTCAGACGCCAAATCTTAATTTATTGCTTTGGTGAATGGCATGACTAGTGGTAAATTTGCTTTCTTAAATCATTGCTAAAGAGCACAAGTTTAATAAGTTTAACATATTTCAAAACTGGTGTAAAAGCTATAATAATAGAGTTGTAAAATCAAAAACTTCGCTAGCGGTTTGACGTTTTGCCGTAAACGTCAATCTTAAGGTCTCTAATATCATAATACTAGCTACCTGTGTATTTAGATCCAATCGGAATGGCGAAACAACCTGTCAAAATATAGATCAAGCAAAACCAAGTTGCTGAATGATATTCATTGTTGTGAACAAATTTGCTAAACGCTTCAATCAACTGCATTCTGAAGACAAATTTCCAAAACCCAGAAGAATAAAGTGAAAATTAAAGTTGTAAATATAGGCACTCGCAGAACTTCCGTGCATGTTTTTGGTTTTATAACAGCGCAAATGAATAACAAACGAAAACGCCGGAAACCTCCGGCTCCGACACATGTAATATCCATTCAATTCACCGAATCTTCTTGAATCATACCAATATAATTTATATAAAGGCATAAGCCTTTATATAAATTAGATTATATCCTATTATCCTTGACGACACCTGATTCAACATTACCCATGAATGATATAGCATATACCATTTAGCGCAGGCATGCAAAAGTTAATATATTAAGATTTCTGTGATTTTTATAAGACTAGTATATTTCGTGTATATATATATTGTTGTACATAGCACTCTCTCCTCTGTAGAGGCTTACATGAAGTACACTAAAGAGTAAAGAAAAAATAAGCGCACGGGGAAATCATCCCATCACTCCACGCGCGCTCATTTCCGTCTATTCACGAAACTTCATGTAGGCCTATACGTTATTTGGAGGCTTTGCGGAGGAGAGAGCATATAGCATTTAAATAATTAAGAGCCGCCATCTGTAAATATCGACTTCAAA